TGTTATTGATAGGTTCATGTTTGTTAACAGACTTGAAATAGGAGATTACGGCTTGTTATAATTAATATTATAAAGGATAAATATACAATACATACACTGGCCCTTTCTGATTTTCTAGATGATTGCCTTTTAAACAAAATTCATGCATGCTTAATACGTGTAATGGTTATTTATCAAAATGGAAAAAATCATCCTCAAGAATTATTTGCTTATACGACATTTAGATATTTCGAAAGAAATTCTTGACCAATTAAACTTTTCGTCCTTTCGGTCCATGTATCTTCATCATTAGGTTTTTTTGGAAAGTTTCGGTTCAATTACGTCACGCAAACGAGCGGCTGCTATTCGTCGGACGTGGCTGTAGACTCATTAAACGGTTGAATCCCCCCATCACAGGAGCTCACTGATGTTTAAATGCCAGAGATGAGGATAAACTTTCTGTCTTGTTTCAGAAAAAATACAGTTACGTCACCCTTTGACATTGGCAATGAAATTTGATGGCTATAAGAATTGTAAACTTAAATAATTTAAAATACTCTTCACGTTCACAATATTGGATCAAAAATGACGTCACTTTGCTAAAATTTAATCTTCATGTCCACTAAGTTTTTATGACTGTGTTTATTGCTTTTAAAAGTAAGATTTGTTCTTAACATAGATTTACAAACAAATAATGCAAATCACATAAAAACCTGCACAGTACACCGCGAAGTGTAAAAGGAAAAACCTTATGTAAAGGCTGTTTGTTTAATCCTACACGCTTTCACTTTGCAATGCTCCTGAAATACCTTCAGTAAAGTAAGTAGGACAAGACAAACAATAAAACGTTTGACACTGTAGATGATGCGGTAAAAACTAAGGAATACGGTTCATTATTCCTTTAACAGAAATGTATTACATAAATTGATTATACGTAATTAAATTAAAACTTGAATTTCTTTCTTTTGCTTACTGTTATTTAATATTACAGATTTTGTTTGAATACGAACGTGAAAATTTCTATTTGAACCGGAAAATTATTACCTCACAGTATTACGAATGCGAAAGAAAATGCATTGTGTGGTTATGACACTTTAATCTCATTGAAAGTAACTAGCGATAACGATAAAAAAAGGGAAGTGTCAAGATTATTAAAATAGATTAAAAATGTGGTTATTTATGCACCGGCTATTTATAATATTTCTTTGGTCCTAGGCACATAAAATATGATACTTACATTAAATTTTATGTTATATTTTAATAAAATTGTTACTACACATGTATGTAAGTTTATATAAACGAAGTAAAAAATAAACGAAACGCATCATTAATAAATCTACAAATTCATGATTTATATCAATTTAAAAATGCAATTGTTTTTTCTTTAAAAATGAGTTGAAATAAATGATTTCTCTCTTAATTGGTTCGAGTCCACACTGCACATTCATCATAAAGAACAACGATTATGATTAAATATTTCCATATTGTGAAGATTTTTAGAAACATTTCAAGGGTGTTATAGAAATCAAATAACAACTAATTATTTTATTGCGCTAGTTGAAATGTTATGAAGCTGGCCTTAACTAACGGTATATTGTTTCACTTATGTATGGTTAAAATTATGCGTAAAACTAAACACGACCTAATGTATATAATACCTCACAAATGTCATTAGCAGATTTCTCTATAGGGAAGGGGGACGGTCAGTGACCTTTGATACCACCTATGTCGCAATCTAAGCTATGTGATATATACAATGTCCCGATATACATATACATATATGTATATACATATATATATGCGAACACAATTATTACATTGAGCTATCAATTGTAAGGATTATCGTGATCCACTGTTTCAATTGTTGTTCTTGATATTATTTATTTCATAATACGAGTATGATCTGAAAAGTGTACACTTCTCACTTAATTGAATACACTGAATAAATAATATATTAATTTATATGAATCCATATGAACAGTATATAAGTTTCATCGATACTAAAAATGAAATAATAAATAGCAATAATTAATCGGATTACTAGTAATCGATAGCTCTCAAAGTAGGTAATGGAATTAAATAATTCAGAGCGGCCCAGCAAATTACGTGGGGAATTTCTTGTTATAAATGTAGGATGCTACTTATACTATTGTGTGTCAAGATGTCTGTTTCTCGCTAAGGAGAATTAAATATAGTCTACGATATTATCTTAATACTCTAATATTATATTAGAATCATTCAAGAGGTTTGAACATTTCTTAGTGTTATTAAAGACAGATGGTTATATGAACCAAGTTATCAAACTTTTCTCACGTATATAAGTCAGATTTTTGAATTTATAGTGTTTGTTGGAAATGTCTTTGAATTATCGACCATTTATTTTAAAATAACTTATATAAAGCGTTACCTAATATTCAATTAGAATTGTAATGAAAAATTAGATTTTTATTACTTTTTATTGCTTTCCCTGATAATTATTAGCTATATAACTTTACAGTAAGTTGATAAAAATAATAAAAGTGTTGGTACTTCACAATAATATCAAGAGACCAAAGTTTTCTCAACTTCATTGTGACTTCTGGCGCGGTTAAAATTTAAATTACATCCCCGAAGACTCATTTTGTATTGTTTTAATAAAATTTGAAGCTAAAAATGCTGTTATTTTTCATTAAATTTTTAAAGAGATAAATTTTTCTGTTTTTATAGTTTAATAATATAACGTTTTAGAATGTGTCCACAAATATTTATTCTGTTAGAAACAAGCCGGGTTAGTAAAAAAATAATTTCTTCTATTTAAACGAGAAATGAATGTATGTAAGTGTATACATATGTACGTATGTATGTGTGTAGTTGTGAAATTGTTCAAATAAAGCGAATAAAACATCATTTTATAATTATTAAATGATCTAGTACTTACTCATTTTAACAACGATTAATGGTTTTAATCCGGTTTTATAAATTGAGTTAAATATAAAAATAACACTAAATAAATAAGTTCAAAAGGCAAATAATACAGTACATTAGCGATTAGCTAGTGAATAATATTTAGTTAAAATTCATTTGTATTAATTAAAGATTACGTAATCGTTATTCAAATCAATATTTAAAATTCAATTTATTACGATTCCTTATGTCCTATAGATATATGTATAAAGATATGCATTTATATACAAATGATAGTCTTTTTAGTTTCAAGTAGATGTACAGCACGGCGTCCGCAAAGAGCAGGATACCGCATACACTTTTTTATAATTTACTATCCGCAATACTGGGAGGTCAAAAGGACTGTTTAAACGTCACTGAATAAAATAAAACGCATTTTACTATTGGCTTTGAAACTGAATCATTTTCAACAAAAGAAATGACAGACGTCTAGTTGGCATTTCGCTAGACGTAAGGATATGTTTATTTCACAATATTGCTACCTAAAAACGTTTCAATCTACCCGTTCTACCTCTATATCACATTGTTCGAATGAACATTACTTAGATACAATATTAGATATAAATTTATATTTTTGTTTCGGTGAGGTTTTTCCATTTTGAAGAAACGTATTAAGTTGTCACCACTCGACACTTTATTTTTGATTCAGATTGAAAAGAAATCTAATTGGTTTTGTTTTACCTTAAATATGGTTGATGTTAGTTATTTATTATTCAACGTTACGAGTGTATAATTTTAGATAATAAATACAATAATATATATTTAGTGGATGTTAATTCACTAATAATTCATACGTATATATAATCCTTTCGTATATTTATGTACATATATATGTATATACGTTATTTTTAAATAATAAATCGATTGTTTGGATATTAAGGTCATCGATAAAACGTTATTTAAGTTTGCTTTCGAAACCGAAATGTATAGATTCCATCAAATTTATTGCTGTATCCTGGGTGTAGGAATCGTATTGAATTGTTCACCCTCAACCTTGTATTTGTTATATATAACACCATATATTCTAAAATTAGGTTTTTGTTTTGTTTCAGATTCTTTATTGGAGCCATTTCAGTTGTCTGACAGGAAAAGTGGTAAGTAAAATTATAAGTCATTCGTATCTTAGATCTTAACTGAAATGAATATGTTCATGCGATAAAATACGTTTAAAATGAAACATTTATTTATAATAGATTTTATAGTATCAAATACTTTACTGTAAGTATTTAATTGCGAAAACTCGCATTTTACTACTTTACTTTCATTGTTATTAATGGTATTATATAATGTATATAAAATATTAAAAGTGAATGCGTAACTGCTAGAGTCATTCTTATGTGGAGTACAAAGCCATTATTTTTTTATATATTGAAATTGTTTATCGAATGAACAATTTAAATAAAGGAGAATGAAATTAACGGCCGAATTAATATAATACAATACAATCAGTACCTTTCACGTCAATTCCACGAAAAATTTAAGATACCTGCATGAATTGTTGCTTACAAAGATAGCGTGTCAAAAATAATATATTGATTACACTTTGAACAGAGTTTTTGATTCCATGTAAATGATATTCAATCAAGATAGCACGGTACGCATTAAAAAAAAAACTTACTTTAGTTGAATAATTTTAACACCTTTTAAGTATAGATATTTATAGTCTCATTTTCTATTTCAGGTCGTTTTAAATGAATCTACCACTGACTTTGAACTTGAAGAAAATTAGTCATGAGTCAGAAAACTAGGAAAAAATTAACATTTCGATGTTACAGCTAGGCTAAGTCGTAGCCTAGTAAGTGTATGTAGCAAAGAATGTAAAATATATTACAATATAATCATATCACCAAACATATCCTTAATATATCAATATCAAGAAACGTGAACATATTTCCTTAGTTGATGCTAGTCATCTATTTGTGATTATAGATAGTAAATAATTTGCTCAAAATTTATTTTAAATATTTCCTATTATAAATAGCTTTATTTAAAAAGGCTTTCATAAATTGAAGAATAAGTGAAAATATAATAATAACAAATAAATTGGAGATAAAATTATCAAGAGAAATATAGTCAATATGAAATACTACAGCATGTTCTTTCTAAGAAGAAGAACGTGGATATTAAAAGCTGTTCTAATTTTGACCGCTCTGTGGTTTATGATTGCTTTATTGACTACAAATGGTGGTACGCGAAATGCTATCGGAGCACCCAATATTGAATATGAAGACGCAGAAGCAAAACCTCTTAAAATGGCAAAGCCCACGTCTACGAAAAAGAAAAGTGATCCATACAGCAACAACTTGTCTGACGGTAAGAAAAATACATATTTTATATGGTTTATTGCATGAATAATGAATTAGTTTAGACGGAAAAGATGCTAATACTATTGCATACAAATTATAGCTGTCGGAAGATTTCTTTTTAATTGTTCAAATATGAATTCAACTAACTCCCGCTACTTACACATGCATGCTCTATGTTATGTACTCGTAGATATCAAAACATCACTTACATTCAGAATCATAACATTGCCATTTTGCATAACCATTTCTGTTGTTTTATTACTTACTACCATAAGTTTTATCTCTTTCACTAACTAAACTTATTCGCCTGTGATGACTCTATAACCTCACTAAATCAAAATTAACTTTAGACTCACTTGTATCGTCGGAAGTACTGAGAAATTCCTCAGCCATTGTCTCTGCTATCCAATGCAATAGAAATGCTAATAAGAGAATACGTTTTAGATTCAGACGAAACTATCCCAAGAGCTTTATACTATACAAATTTGAACCTTCACATCCAATTTGTTTGTTCCTCATTTCAAACGAACTTTCCTTGTAAATTTCTTATCAAGACATTTAAAACTTTTTTGTCTTTAAATGTGTTAACGCAAGAAAATAGTAAAATAAAAGTCCACTAAAATGTTTCTATGTGTACACAGAGCACATATAGAATGTCTGTTTTTTATTGTTTTATGACGTTAAATATGTTATGTTTTGCTGATGTATATGTAGATATTATGCATGATAATATTCCTTTATCCACCACAGCTCGAGTCAATTGGATGGGTCGGATCGCGGGGAACGAAGGTAATAACTAATTGCTTTTGCTTTGTTTGTACTGTATCTTCTACTTTGAGCTTTACTTGTAAAATGATCGCATAAACAGTGACTGTATATAAAGAAACATAGTAGGTTATTGTGGCAAAAGAAAAACGTGTTTTATAGTGGGTATGATTTAAGTAGGGAATTTCATATCTTAAGTTCCCAGTAAAACTACGATGATGATTGACAACTCGTTATAAAACGCTATCTAATGGGCCACAACGTTCCCACGACCTAAGTATGTATTATTAATAGCAGGCATTAGCAGTATAGCCCTATTTCAAACCTATCGGATGTACGTGCCGACATCGGATTTCCGATTGAGATCTGGGCTAGAAATAGGCTTTCACACAAATAACCCCTAATATGAAGATCACTTGAGCATCACTCATTTCAGTAAATACATCATTACATAGCTTCTGTATAAAATAGCATTGAATACATACATTGTGTGATATGATACCTATAAATTATCTTTGTAGTATATATAGTCTAGAATAAAAATAAGTGCTTGTGCTTTGCAAAAAAAGAAGAAAAGGTTACATCTCCAACAGGGTTAGGAGTAATTGCTGCTCCTGGTTCGGACAACGCACCGGGCGAACTGGGAAAACCGGTCGTTCTACCAACTAATATGAGCGAGGATGCAAAACTAGCGGTGTCCGAGGGATGGAAAAAAAACGCCTTCAATCAGTACGCCAGCGACTTGATATCGATTAGACGGACACTACCCGACCCTAGGGACGAGTGGTAAGAATGATTTGCAAAATTGACTTATAGATATCTACCCAATTTGTTTGGATTTCATTTCTATAGTGCTCACTTTCATTACTTAATTAGTGATTAACAAAATTAATCTACCACAATAGCTTCATAGTTCGTCAGTATTATTACAAAACGTCGAAATAACGTTGTTATAATATCATCATATTATATAGCACCTCTGTTGTTTTTTAAAATTTACTCGGGTTTCTATTAAATTCTGTATGAACCTATATTGTACTGTTTCAATTCTTTCTACTTTTTATTATTTTGCGTAGGTGTAATGAAAATATATTACATATTTTAAATGAAACTCATGATATTACTTGTCAAATAATTGACATGAAAATATTTATCTAATTTAATATTTTTCTTATTAAGGTGCAAGCAACCCGGTCGTTATTTAGAAGATCTTCCGCAAACTTCTGTTGTTATTTGTTTCCATAATGAGGCGTGGTCGGTGCTTCTCAGAACTGTTCATTCAGTTATAGACAGATCTCCTGCACATTTAATAAAGGAGATTATTCTCGTCGACGACTTCTCTGATATGCGTGAGTAAATAAGCCATTTTCTCTTCTTAGACAGAATAAGGGTTGCTGCAGACTACTAACTTTTGTCATTTGACAGTTTAAACTAGTTATTAATCGATTGAGATCAAATCGTTTTTGCGTCGGATCTTGCATAAACTGTCGTGTAATCTAAAGGAGGACTAATTATATCCTCAACCTATAATTACTGTCAGCTTCGATAATATATAATTTGGTCCTACATTCTAATCACTGATAGTTAAAAGGATGATATGAATTATTAAACAGTGAATGCATAATGCAGTGGTCATCATTATTATCTGATGAAAAAACACACAAAAAAAGGTTTATTTGTATTTGATTACAGCACACTTGATGCAACAACTCGATGATTATATGTCCTCGTTGCCGAAGGTTAGGATAGTGAGAGCAACTCAACGAGAGGGTCTCATTAGAGCGAGGCTGCTAGGTGCTAAATACGTCACAGCGCCAGTACTAACATATCTCGATAGCCATTGCGAATGTACTGAGGGTAAGTTATACAGTCATTGAGATATTTAGAATACGAGACAATCAAAAACTTTATCATTTTAACCGAACTGATGATTACTTTAAAGTTATCATACTATTTAGAACCTAGTTTCATGTTTATTTTTTCCACTCAACATATTTTACACGTAAAAGAAATGACAAATGCTAGGACAGATATATTAATGGTTTTTGATGACATATCAAAATTATTAATGAATTTTGTGAAAGCTTAACAGTTATTAATCGAATTGTCGTTCCTAAATGTTAAGCTTTAATAAAAACATACACATCATTCAACTTTTACAGGTTGGCTAGAACCACTTTTAGATAGAATTGCTCGCAACAAAACGAATGTAGTGTGTCCTGTTATCGACGTAATTGACGACAATACACTCGAGTATCACTACCGAGATTCTACTTCAGTAAACGTTGGTGGCTTTGACTGGAATTTACAATTCAATTGGCACCCAGTACCCGCAAGGGAGCGAGCTAGACACAAACATACCGCTGAACCAGTATGGTCTCCGACTATGGCTGGTGGTCTCTTTGCTATAGATAAAGAGTTCTTCGAAAGGCTCGGAACTTACGACAGCGGATTTGATATATGGGGTGGAGAGAATTTGGAACTGTCATTCAAAACGTGGATGTGTGGTGGCACGCTGGAAATAGTTCCTTGCTCGCATGTCGGTCACATATTTAGGAAACGATCGCCATACAAGTGGAGGACCGGAGTTAATGTTCTCAAGAAAAATTCCGTCCGCTTAGCTGAAGTATGTTTTATTAGAAAAAATATGTTTACATGTTATTAATGGCTCTTTAAAAATTAAATTACTTTTCAGGTATGGTTGGACGATTATTCAAAATATTATTATCAGCGGGTCGGCAACGACAAGGGTGACTACGGCGATATTAGTGGTAGGAAGGCGTTAAGAGAAAAACTTAAGTGTAAATCATTCGACTGGTACTTAAAGAACATTTACCCAGAACTGTTCATACCGGGAGAATCCGTAGCACACGGAGAGGTTTGTATATAATATATCATAACAGAAATTCATTAAATTAAGATAATATTCCTTGACCATTACAGATTATTGTAGTTAGGACTTCGGTAATTTATTCTAAATTACAAGAGTGCAAAAATATTTTGATGGTTTATACATATGTTGTGCTTCAAAATTATACAGATTCGAAATATTGGCTTCGAAAGGACATGTCTGGACTCCCCAACGCGGAAGTCCGATCATCATAAGCCAGTAGGACTATACCCGTGTCACCGACAAGGAGGAAATCAGGTCTCCTGTTATTTAACATCGTTGCGGCAGTACCACGTTGTCTTTATAGAAATTGTACCGATGTTTTCCCTTTTTGCACTCTATTCTCTTCATTGCACGATATCGATATAGATATATTCATTAGTTTTTGTCATGGAATTAGATTCGCAACGTGCTATATGGACGTTGTATTGTTGGTGATTCTGAAGAGGCGTCACACGAAGTTCTTATAATGATTCACAGTTGTCACGGCGCTGGTGGCAATCAGGTATATCTATACTGAAAGTGTCTGTTTGTGCGTGGGTTTGGTATAAAACTTATTCTATTATGATGAATAAGTCTGTTGTTTAATCACTATCATCCATCACCAACATTGTCGCTTGATGCTATTCAAGTGATAATGTCACCAGCACGCTTGCTTGCACTTTTTTTAAATTATGGATGGCATTAGATCGCGAATCCCTCTACGGATATGTGCGTGGACTCAGCCGCTGGGCCCGAAGACATGAAGAAGCCAGTCAACCCTTGGCCTTGTCATGGAGAATATGGGAATCAGGTTTGTCGTAATAGAAATCTGCTTACGCTTCTATTTTCTTTATTATTCATCAGCATCAGTAGTTTTATCATAATAATCAGATTACCATTACTAATCAGTTAAGCTACTCGTGTTGGTGACGTTTTTATTCTAGCAGGGTTTGTATTATATAATGTTTGCTCTACTAATACATTTTTTTTCGCCATTACTTAACGAAATAGCTTTTATAACATGTTCAGGTGTTACATTAACAATATAGATTTATATTCTTCATTATAGGATTGGTCACGCAAGAATGCCTACAGGGAAAACTCATTTGGTACTTCTTTTAACGTACATCATTGAATTTATTACTATATCATGTGTAAAGATTATTATCAATTCTTGGTACTGCCGCCAAATATATTTATTAGTATTTAAGCTTTAGATAACATCTTAGATTGTTATTATTAACTTATATATGTATTGCGTATTATCTTCTATCAATATAAAATATCATATTTATTATCTTAAATTAAATTTTTTATATGTTAAATTAAAATCCATTTCTTGATTATCCTGATTGGTCTTCAGTTTTGAATTAATGGTAAAAAAATAATTCATGAGTATTCATGGTCAACCAAAATGATGGATTCAGAAATTTTTCATGATTTATTTTATTGCAACTGATGTCAGAACGATTAACATATTATTTCAGTACTGGATGTATTCGAAGAATGGCGAGATACGTCGTGATGAGACCTGCCTCGACTATTCGGGTCACGATGTTGTTTTGTACCCCTGTCATGGGGCCAAGGGTAATCAATTATGGCTGTATGACCCCACTGTGAGTATACAATATTATAAACATCTAATTTAATGTTCTTTCAATCGTCCTCTTACATTTATACCAATTTGATCATAACAAAAAAAATGTTTTTGACTTTCTGGGTTTTGAATTTTGTCAAATAAGTACGTTTACAATATGTTACGCATTATTGTTTATTTTCGATAGGTGAAGATACATATTGTTAATGATATTACAAAAATTGATTTTCATTTTCAAAATTGATTTTCATTTTCGCAAAAGAGTTGATAGTAGCGAAGTAATCAACAGTATTTCTAATTAGAAAGTGATAGTTTTTGTGTCTTTTCGTTGGCTCAAAGTGACTTAAAATTGTTACAGACGAAGCTAATAAAACACGGCTCGAGTGAAAAATGTATGGCTATATCACGGAAGAAGGACAAGATTGTAATGGAAACGTGCAACGAAAGGGAGAATAGGCAACAGTGGAATATGGAAAACTTTAACGCTGACAGACTCAGTCCAGAATTGACGGCAGAGTAGCCCGAGGCATATGACGAAGTACTGTTCATATGAACAGACTGAAAGACAATTATTGTGAGTGTTATATATTATATATATTGAACATGTGCTTCAGTCTATGTATTGATGTAATTAATGAAAATTCTACCGAAGTTGAAATGTTAGAAGATTTTTTTTTTCGTTCCTTTATACTTTATCTCGGCCTAATGTATTTAGTTAGGTTATATGAAAATTTAATTTCTGTTAATTTTTATGATATAAATAAATTTTATTCATCACATATATGATTTTCAATTGTATCAAGATAGTATTCTATATAGTATTATAGGAGCTAGAATATAATGTTTACTGTACATATCTCGATGCATATATCTTTGTATTAATTGAAATTTTATTAACTAATTGTATTTTTATGGATCACGTTGGTGTGATGATCTAGTTTGAGTATAGGTTATTGTGATTCCTTCATGTATTAGTTAATAAATCGTTCTAGTGATGAATATATGTACATGAAGTAATGTAGTTAAGTATTCCAACATTATATCACATCACTTAGTTAACAGTTCTTGTAAGTAATAAATTTTTGTTTGGGTTATAAAAATATTGCTTGATTCTTATATTTTTAATATTCAAATTTGATTGCTTATATTTTTAATATTCAAATGACTGATTTTTGTTTGTATATTTTTTATATAGTGTATTGTTTTTTGGGATTCATAAGATAATTAAATTTAATTATTTTCATATATGAGAAAATTAAAGAACTGCGTAACACCAAGTCTATATAAAGTTATTTGAATATAATTTTGTTTTAATTTGTCATTATTTTTCATATACATATATATAATATAAATAACAATTATTATTTTCAATTCAAATATTGCAGATATAGACAATATAGATATAAACTATATCACTTTATTTTCTTATTTCATTACGTAAGTCACTGTTTATTTCAGAAGCTTTTTTTTTCTTTTATTAGTAGTAATAATTTAATAGTTTAATTTTGACAATATTCAATACATTCCAGTTTGTGATTTTAAACTTATTCATAGTAAACTGCCAGTTGGATTAGTGTAAGTTTGTAAAGATTTTAGTATAACACCCTTTATTGCTCAACAGCAAAAGAGGTTTGATACCAATAAAGTAAAAATTAATGTGCCAGTAACATTTAGTTTGAATATATCGATTTTCCATACAAATGTAACAAAAAAATTTAAATTATCGCGCGTATTGTATTATTATCGTACTTTATGTAATATTAATGTACATTTTACTAAGAGGCTGTTTTTTAATTGTATATAAAACGGTATTAAAGAAAAGAATATATTTTTGTTTGAAATTTATTTTATCAATATATGCCGATAGATATCGTTATCTTAAAGTTTATATTAGAAAATATATATTGAAATATTATTTGTAGCTTGAAATTCAAATAAATGTGGCAAACTAAAAAGTCTATGTATAAAAAAAATATTAATTCCTAATTTTTTCCATATTTAATGTTTATAACTATAAAGGTAATAATAGGTCTCGTTGTTTTAAGACGTTAATGTGCCTTATATATTTACGTAAAATTGATGTTAAAATTTTCTGTAAATAATGCGATGTCTCCTGTATAAAATGCGTAATGTTAGTTGATATAGAATTTGTAAAATAAAGCGTATGTTGGATTTGTAGCTGGAGTTTAATTTGATATCCTAATAATAAACATATGTATGTATAGTAACTCCTTAAAATTGGTAGATTTATTGGAAGATTCCAAGCAAAGAATATAAATTTTTGTATAATTTTATTACAAAACTGTGCCCAATAGAATTAAGCTAAAATGAATTATATGTACATATCTTTATATATATAATTCTTCTGTGAGTGCGTATGTCACTGAACTTCTCTCAAACGACTGGACTGATTTTGATGAAATTTTTTGTGTGTGTTCAAGGGGATCTGGGAATGGTTTAGATTCACAATTTTGTCCGCTGGACAATGTTTTTTAAATTAATTTTTGATTTATTAGTAGTTGTTGAACAAACGTTTTTTTTTGACATTAGATTTGACAACTAACTATTATAATATGTCAATCATTCTGTCGCACTTCAAAACACGGAGATTTATGGCTTTAATAGGTAAATACCAAAAATATAAATAAAAAAACGTAACAGATATTTGATTATTGGGCGATACGAAGTTCGCCGGGTCTTCTACATAGTATAATATATAAATTTGTATAATTTAAGATGGAAAGTTAGGAAAGTAAATTTAAAATAAAATCTTCGCTATGATGAATCAAAGTACGAAGTTATCAAATAAAATATCATTCAACAACTTCTTTGTTTTAACAACATAAAGAGTGAGTGGATTCCCCATCTTTCAACTTGCGTGTCAAATAAGCACTAGCGCGTTTTCAGTCAGGAAAGTAAGACATAGTCGTATATGTAGCTCAACTATTTCAGACATTTACATCGTATCTGTCCGAAAGAAACTCATTTTCATACAGTAACACTGTACTTCAGTCTCGAGCGTTACATTCAAAAAACTTTGTAAAGGATTCGGTGTACTTGTACTTTCTATAATGACTTTAAAACAAAGAAGTTTGGTACGTCACAAATGATGATACCAGATAAGCAAATAAGCTAGTTACTTGCAGTTGTTGTTTCCACGTGTCAACGAATACTCTCTCCTGAATAATAATTAATTAATAAAATTCGACATTATACAAAATCTATTAATTAAATTATACATACATATATAGATTTAATACTTTTATTAACTTAAATATTTTATATAATTCACATTGAGCTTAAAATATGTTTGAATTGTTTTAGTCACTAGAGAGTAAAATTATGTATTGAAAAGTTTCTTGAATTAAATTATAGCTTTTATAAAAGACAGTTTTCAGCAGTCGGTGGTGGATTCGTATTTCATCTTTCTGGTGTCATTGGAACATTTAAAAAATGCGTCTAATTACAATTATAGTGTCTTTTTTGATACTACCAAATAATTTTCTTTTTTTTTAGAGAAGTGAAAATCATATTGACTTATAAAAACGACTTATTTGAAAATAATATATTATAAAAAAAGATTATTTGAAAATAACTTTAATAATATTATTTCTTAACTGAAACGACTTGTCAAGTATTGTCAAAGATTTAAATGTCTAATTGTTATATGACCAGCACGCACAAATAAATTATACATTTGATGGGAGTTTCATGACTTACGAGTATCTAAGCCTAACCTTATTAAATATATTATTATATTGACTTCACATTTAAATATTGAATTGAATCAATTCCATTCCTTATTTAATGTAACAAAAAAGATGATAAATTATGCGTGATTGGTTTAAAGAAATTATAAACAGGGCAAATAAAAAATACAATCTGTTAAATAAATAAATTAAGTGCTTAATGAACATTGAAACCACAGAATACGTTATAACCACACACAATGCAAATTCACGTTCAGCAGGAAATTTCTTGATTTTATTGTTTTTAATGCTTCGGTTTTTCTTGTTTATGTTTTTAATATATTATTAGAACATTGACATGTATGAGCGACATAATAAGATTTAAACTATATAATACAAAAGATTCTGTGCCTTCAGTTTTAAGTAGCACAAGGCACAAATTACATTTTCCACGAAGGAACAAAATAATACTGTTCGTCCATCAAATAAAAACGTTGACATTGGCAAAATATTTCACGACTCCAGTGCTTATGAAGGTATAGCATTATAAAATAATACTATATTTGTTTTCCTTTATATCTAAACACTTTAGATGTCGCATGATATCAATTTTCGTTTTCTTTCCCGATCTTTTCTAACACTTTCGTTAAGGTATCTAATTAACACCAAATTTTATATTTTTAAACGGATTTTTTCATCAATGTTTATATGTCTTTTGATATGATCAATTTAAAACTTGCTAACCCATTTTTGCAGATTTGTTCATGATTTATACATAAGTTTAGGTAATACTTTCAATATCATAACAGTCCTACGACTCGAAGAAATTGCTATGCTGCTAACATTTCTATCACTTCCAATCATCTTGAAAATAAGAAATAAACGATTTTCAGGAAGAAACCATACAAATAAAGATTCATGTTAAGTTTTACGATGCTATAAATTGTGAATTTTATTCCAGTGACGCAGTCATTGCATCAATATTAAAACACACATAAAGTTGGACTCTGACCAATACCTTCTGAAGCCAATAAACCTCGATACATTCGGGGTTTTATCTATTTCCCTGTAACTTACTTAAAACTTATTTATAAATTAATAACGAAGAAAGCCACGATTTTCTTCAGAATAGAGCAATTTTTATCTAAAATTAATGAAGCCTAAGTCAATAAGCGAATAATTTTTTCAAATGTGATTCTTAAAAGATGAAATATCATCTTTATTTATTGGGTCTGTCTGAATAGTTTTATTGAATTCAAATGGTGGTTAAAAAATAGCTGCGTAATAAAAACACGAATGTTCAACAAATCTTTTTGCAAGTCATCCACACTCAATTCATTCAACTATTCTAAAAATAACACACATTCTACAAAGTAATGAAGATATTGTGGTAGTGCTGATTTTATACCGTTAAAGTAATGGAAATTTTATTCTTTAAAGAAATCGAGAAATTCTATAGCTTAAGTAAGTTTTAAAGTGTAAAAACGGTTACAAGAAATTGGATTCATTTTTTTAATAGTTAGACATGTACATAGATATCAATATCGGTATGTATCGAAAATTCATAAAATCAGGATTTCCATATAAAACCTATGTCGTTCAAAAAGTTAATTAGCTAGTTTTGTTTTTCGTCTTGATATTGAACAAACTTATTATTATATTCCGAGGTGTTTCTCAATGAAAGAGCTAATTTTCGGAGACATAATTAAAGCTCGAGATATAAATAAGATGTATATATACATTAAGAAAATAGTAATATGAACTTAATATCTACTACTGTTTTCGTGGTAAAATTGCAAGAAAATATAAAATTATCTTCATGGTTTCCATT